AGATTGGTCTCAGTAAATCCTTCTCTCTTTCAACTTTTAAACACGAGGAAAAGAAACTTCACGAACCAACGAGAAGGTTAATATTTCGCCAATCGATTCTTCTCGAATCCCATACAACGGCACCAAAAACATGTATAAAAAAGCCCTCCCCTCTCAGAAGTTTATTGTCTTACAGGTTAAAAATAAAACGCGCTTCAAAGCCTCTGCTTTCATTCATTCAATTCATTCTCATCTTAGTTTCTAATTCGTTAGCTATCATCAATGGCTGGAAAGGGAGAAGGGCCAGCGATCGGTATCGATCTAGGCACAACATATTCATGCGTCGGTGTATGGCAACATGACAGGGTTGAAATCATAGCTAACGATCAAGGCAACAGGACGACGCCGTCGTATGTTGCTTTCACCGATACAGAGCGTTTGATTGGTGATGCTGCTAAAAACCAGGTCGCCATGAACCCGGTCAACACCGTGTTCGGTGAGTATAGCAGTTCAAAGCCTTTTATTTTAGTAGAAGTAGATATCTATTTTGCTAAGGTTTCGCCTTTACTGTCTGGAAAATTGGAATGTTCTACTAATTTTTTCGTGTTTAAACAGCAAGAATGAGGCAGTTACTACTGCAATGTGCAATTGATGAACTGATTATGGAGGATTAGGTGTAGATTAACAAGATTTTTAGTACAAATCAGCCAGAAATGGATGGCTATTTTAGTCTCCTGTTAGAGAAGGATTAAACTAAATCACGTTTCCTAATAACGTGCGATTAATTACTTCTATATAATGAGAGATACGATCTCTGATTGACTTGAACTTGAACTTGAACTTTAGATTTTGTTCCGATTTGTTAGTGTTTTTTTTATTTATTCTGACCTTGTGTAATACATAACGAAAAAATTAAATCCTGTTTGGACATTTGAAATTTGATTAGGATTTAGTCTTTTGGTTTACTAGTTGAGAAAGGAAAAAAAATAAAAAATAGTAGTGTGTTTGAATAGTATGAACCAAACCGTCACTAGATTGATAAACTTGTGCGAATCCGAATCGAATCCGAAATAAGTGAAGATAAAAATAAATAAATCCGGTTAACAGCTCTAATTGTCAATTCGGATGGTGGTTATGTATTAAATCTATAAATGATTGATCACTGATAGATTATTTGCGTGATTCACAGATGCTAAGCGTTTGATTGGTCGGAGATTTAGTGATCCTTCGGTCCAGAGTGATGTTAAGCTGTGGCCATTCAAGGTCATTGCTGGTCCTGGTGACAAGCCAATGATTGTGGTTACCTATAAGGGCGAGGAGAAGCAGTTTGCTGCAGAGGAGATTTCTTCAATGGTTCTCATTAAGATGCGTGAGATCGCTGAAGCTTACCTTGGCACCACTATCAAGAATGCTGTGGTCACCGTCCCTGCTTACTTCAATGACTCCCAAAGGCAGGCCACCAAGGATGCTGGTGTCATTGCTGGTTTGAATGTCATGCGTATTATCAATGAGCCTACTGCAGCCGCCATTGCATATGGTCTTGACAAGAAAGCGACTAGTGTTGGTGAGAAGAACGTGTTGATTTTTGATTTGGGTGGTGGTACTTTTGATGTCTCTCTTCTTACCATAGAGGAGGGTATCTTTGAGGTTAAAGCCACGGCCGGAGACACCCATCTTGGGGGTGAGGATTTTGATAACAGAATGGTGAACCACTTTGTGCAAGAGTTCAAGAGGAAGAATAAGAAGGATATCAGTGGAAATCCTAGAGCTCTTAGGAGGTTGAGAACTGCTTGTGAGAGGGCAAAGAGGACTCTCTCATCTACTGCTCAGACGACCATTGAGATTGATTCTCTCTACGAGGGTATCGACTTCTACTCAACCATCACCCGTGCAAGATTTGAGGAGATGAACATGGATCTCTTCAGGAAATGCATGGAGCCTGTCGAGAAGTGTTTGAGGGATGCGAAGATGGACAAGAGCAGTGTCCATGATGCAGTCCTTGTTGGCGGTTCCACTAGGATTCCCAAGGTGCAGCAGCTTTTGCAAGACTTCTTCAATGGGAAAGAGCTCTGCAAGAGCATCAACCCCGACGAGGCTGTTGCTTATGGTGCTTCTGTTCAGGCTGCTATCTTGAGTGGTGAAGGGAATGAGAAGGTGCAGGATCTGCTTCTTCTTGATGTCACTCCGTTGTCTCTTGGATTGGAAACTGCTGGTGGAGTTATGACTGTTTTGATCCCAAGAAACACCACCATTCCCACCAAGAAGGAGCAGGTTTTCTCCACCTACTCGGACAACCAACCTGGTGTGCTGATTCAAGTTTACGAGGGTGAGAGAACTAGAACAAGGGACAACAACTTGCTTGGCAAATTCGAGCTCTCTGGCATTCCTCCTGCACCCAGGGGTGTTCCTCAGATCACTGTCTGCTTCGATATTGATGCAAACGGTATCTTGAATGTCTCTGCCGAGGACAAGACTACTGGCCAGAAGAACAAGATTACTATCACTAACGATAAGGGAAGGCTGTCCAAGGAAGAGATTGAGAAGATGGTACAGGAGGCTGAGAAGTACAAGTCGGAGGATGAGGAACATAAGAAGAAGGTCGAAGCCAAGAATGCTCTGGAAAATTATGCTTATAACATGAGGAACACCGTGAAGGATGAGAAGATTGGATCCAAACTGAACCCAGCTGAAAAAAAGAAAATCGAGGATGCGATCGATCAGGCCATTCACTGGCTGGACAGCAACCAGCTTGCCGAGGCTGATGAATTCGAGGACAAGATGAAGGAAGTGGAGAGCATTTGCAATCCTATAATTGCAAAGATTTATCAAGGCGATGGTGCTGACATGGGTGGCCGCATGGATGAAGATGCTCCCTCGACTGGCGGCAGCGGTGCTGGCCCTAAGATTGAAGAAGTCGATTGATTGATAATTTCTTTCTCACATCCAAGATTGAACGAGATCAATTGTTTTTTCAAATCTTGCTACAGTTGTACGAGCCCTTCCCGCATTTTCTACTATCTACGGCCTCGTTTTCTCTTTCTTCTATGTTATGCCTTCTAATTTCATCATCTAGTCTTTAAAATCAAGATGAATTCCTTTTTCAAATTTTGCTACGGTTGCACGAGTGCTTCCTGCATGCCATAAATGACCAGCCGGTATTTAATTTGATTCTTGTCGCGCCTGAACTCGCTCTAACACTGTGTCTAGGTCACAACGGCGATAATGCAATTTCTTTGTTCCAGTAGACAGCGTTCCATCATCTGGCTTCAAACCGCACCCGACGGTAGTTCAATCGTATCTTCACTCAACCAGATACCACAGCAGCACTCTCATAAGCAAAGGTTCGAAAATTGTGATTCTGTAAGATGAGATTGGAGATTCAGCCTTTTAAGGCCTCCGGACTTCGCAATATTTGGGAAGTATCCGACAAGAGGTAGCAATCAAGCCCATTATTTGGGAAGTATGTAGCTAATCAAGCGTTTGGAAATGTGAACTTATGAGACAATCTGTGTTTTTTTTTTTTTTAAAGTATTTTATATGTTTCAGATCTAATTTCAAAAAATAATTTCTAAAAAATAAAAAATATTATTTTAATATCTTTTAATATAAAAATATTTTAAAAATATACTTTCAAACAGCCTTATAAAAAGCATGATTCACTATATTAATCTCGATAGCTATGCCAGCTAATGAAGCTAAAGGTGCATGTGTCATATATTCTGCATATCGTAATTCTTGCCAAGTTACATGTTTTTTTCAACTTATCAAAAGTCCAAACCATTTGAAATATAGACCGGTAAAAAAGAAAAAATATAGAATGCATTGAGTGGTAAAAAAGAAAAAGAAAAAGAAAATTACAAGTGGTTTTTATCTTTCCATATCAATTCGGGAGATTATGATAAGGGTCAATCACCAACCTAAGAAGAAGTGTCTTGATAAGAAATAAAATAAGATGCCTCTGTTCATTATGATGATCTTTTTGCCAACTGTTGATGATATTTAGCCACACCAAGCTTTCAACGACGCCGTTAACTTTCTCCTCTACGTCTCTGACATCTTCCACGTCAGGTAACTGCAATAGTATCTTATCTTTTTGATTTAATTTCCCGGGGTTCCTCTTTCCATTCTCAATATGTTTTTATCCTTTATTTATTCTATTATTTGAATATGTTATATACGCATCGTGTACCACACGCTCCCTTCCTTGCTCTCTATATTTCTTTTTAGTCAAGGGTGCCATAATTTTAATTATTCATGTCCAATACATCCAAATAATTACAATTAGTCGTAATGGTAATAATTGCATAATCATAATTATGCAATATCATAATTTTATAATTTTATAATCATAATCTCCGTGAGAAATAATTATATCACGTAGAGTTTACTTTTTAAATTATTTTTTTAAATTTACTTTTAATATAAAAATATTAAAAAATTTAGCTTGAAATAAAAAAAATAAAAAAACACGAATCGACGGCGCCCCAAAACACTTCATGTATAATAGGGGAAAGCATCTATCTGTTCGTTATTTCTCCAAAATTTAGCCACCTATAATTCAATCCTATAGGCTATACGCGGCTGGTGGTTGAGCAACCTCAAATTCAAACATGGAGGCTATGAGCATACTGGTGGTCAACGTATCAGATCTGTATTTCACTCGTGCATATAGGCTTGTTATTATTACTGGGGAATAGCCTCCACGTGTCACCACTTGTTGGATTTGGGAATGAGAGCGTGGAGATAGCCGGCAAGAATAATTAGCTTTGGCAGTGAACGGGGGACTTGTTCAAAGCGGGTGTCACTGTAAGCGTGTAACCTGAAGCAGGTTGCCGACATTGATAAATGTAATCTTTGCGACTGTAAAATTTTGGACGGGAAGCGTCCGATGTGGCACCGATGACATGTTCTGCCGTTCGGTACAGTGCATTCGTCGGCGTAAACGAGACAATTAGGATAATTTCAATTTATTACTGTCTGGTGTATCCGTGAGAAAGGATAAGCGGCGGTTTTGTGCCATCTTAAGCTAAGTTCAACATGAAATTTTCCTAAATAGATCAGAAATCATGGCGATGGCCTCCATAAAGAACTGCGGATATACTTACAGAAAATAAACACGTGAATAGGCCAGTGACGGAAAATATCTACACATAAAGGAACAGCCAAGCTTACCAGTGGACGAAAAAATCACAGCATAACAAGCGAGTTCCCACTTCTTACCTAGTATGGGAATGGATCACTTTACGACAAGAAAACTATTGCTGAACAGAATAACCAGACCGTCTGGTCTGCATACGCCTCATCTTAAACTGACAGACAAAACAAGTTAGGAACAACCACAGTTCATGCAGCCCCTGGAGAGAAAATGATAGCCTCACCCATTCTCCTTTAGGAGGGACTGGCAGCAACCCTTCTGCAATAAGCAAGAAGTTACGACTTACGATTCCTACGAGTGAGCTTACCTTCCACCCCTAGATCGAAAGGAAAGGAAAAGGTCTTAGGCCATCACGAAACAAAAATATAGATTCCAGACCATCATAACTGCAGCATTTAATCAATCTTTGAACAGAAACAGATAGAAAATGACTTTATCTGTTCTCATTATCTAACACAAATAACGATCCAGCTATACAATCAGTAGAAGATTGCACCGAGATGATAAACAAAGTATTTTCGCTACCTAACAACCTTTATTTAATTTCAACTGCATTTGCAAGTAGCAGAATGCATGCTCCACAGACAATGTCAAGGTTACAAGTAACATAACATAGAAATGGAGGCAACAAAAAAAAAAAGCTTCAAGTCCCTGCTCATCCCTTGAAACAAGTCTAGGGGGCTGAATGTTTAAAACAAGCACAACGGACATTAGTGCATTCCAAAGTCAACTGAGCTACTAAAATTCTTCCCTTGGGGAGTAAGATTAATTTACTTTGTAAAGCCACCCAACCCAAACATGAATCGAAAATATAAATGTATAAAAGAAAAAGGACACGAAATTTCATCTAGAAAAAGGGGAAATATCATTTCATAGATTGCTTTTATGGAATGAAGTTAGTAAACAATGAAGCACCAACCACTATAACTGTCCTTACATCTTCAAACCAATGTCTCTTTCGGATTGACAAATGCTCATTCACTCCAAGGATAGGGGCGAAGGCATACACGAACTTCATGTTCTTCTGGTCCTACACGATGCTTGGGCACAATAATTTCAAGCACTGTTCCGGTCTCATCACGGTATGCTTCCAGCTTCGCATCTTCTGGAATGAGGTTAGGGAGGGGAATTTCCCTAATGAATTCCCCAGGAGGGCAGTGCTCTGGAGTTGGATCTGTTAGCTTAAATGTCCTATCATGCCGCTTAATAAATGGCATGCATGCTGTACTTATACAAGATATCTTAACAATACCATGCGATTTAGTATTCCTCCAAGTAACTTTCACCCTTTGAAGATCTGCAAAGGGCAAGCTGACGATGACTAAAAAAGCTTTATCATCCTCGTATATTGTTTTTGCTGCTGTAACAGGCCCATTTACATTCTTCATTACCCCACTGAACTCGTTTAACCACGTTGGCTCAACTGGGTGAATATTCATATCAACAGAATGCAAAAATTCATCATCACTGCCATGCTTCCGCTTGTTGCTCATAGGAGACAAGTCAATGCCTTCTCCATTGCTATGGTCTGAGGACTGAGTAGACAGGTTCAAACCAGTACCATTAAGCAACTTTCTTGGGTGGGCATTTCCATTACTCTTTAATGCAGGTGGGGGCCTCTCAAGCTCAAATTCTGTGCTTGGAAGGTTCCTCCATGAGCCAAAATCACTTGCCTCTGGAGGAATGGAGAAATTGATGTCTCGGCCGGTAAGCTCCACCCACCTCTTCCGCTCTTCATCGTCAAGATTCATGAGACTGGGTGATCGAACAACTTCAATACCATGAACGCACTGAGGGTTGGAGAGACCCCTATAATGCTTCCTCTGCATTCTATGAGACCGGACAAAGCCCCTGTCAACACTGAATGGAAATGGGGGCTCCCCTTGGCGAGAATGCCCGTTCATATAGCTCCTCAGTTGCATTTTACCCAGGGCATTTTCAGGCCTTTCCTTGAACACCCACATGTACATGTTCTCCATGTCATGCTGAACTAAAAAAGCATCTAGCTGCAAATCTGATTTCTCAAACCCAGAAACACCATTACTATCCCTGATTATTTTGCATTTCGACTTCTCATTCAAAACAGGCTTGAAATAGAAGCTAAAGAAGAGCCAGGCACCCCAAATGCTATCCAGGCGCTTTGTACATTTCTTCACAACTTTTGGAATACTGACAATTGTCTCAGCCTCGTAAATCTGATGCCCAAGACCAACATCCAAGATGTCGCATGGATCATTCCAAGTATGGGGAGGAGGTGGACTAGGCTCAGACGACAACGGGAGATTGATATCAGGCGGTCTTGAAAGAATGACAGACCGATTCATCTCCCTCTCCAGATCATCATGTGTAAGAGAGCCCGAGTCCATAGAAAGAAGTGTAGATGGGTGATAATTTTCCATCGATAAAGTCGTTAGAAGAGCTTCCCCCATATTCTGTTTTCCTTCACTGTTTTTCTGGCTTCTGGGCTTGTGATTTGCAAATCCCAGCACCACAACTGCTAAAGGCTGACGACAAACATCTTTATTGAGCAATCAAACAATAACTCTGATGAAAAAATATATATATAATTACAGACCTCCGTGCCCTCAATCGACAAAACCAAATAAACAACTCATAAATATCTTCATGATTTCAAATCCCCACAAATTCCCGAAACATCAGTTCACAGAGTTTCATCAAAGATTCGGCAAGCCAGCAAATTTTAATATTGGTATCATTAGCTCATCAGCGACCTGGAAAAATCAAAACAAACAAACAAGTGAATAACAAACAAAAAATTAAACCTTTTTTCACTTATAACCGCACTCTCTACACTTGCACAATATCTTCTTCTTTTTTAATTTAAAAAAAAAAAAACTACTCGGATGCCAAGAAAAAGAAAAGAAAAGTACAATTCCTAGAAGAAACCAATACTCAATCTCCTATTTTTCAATTAAAAAATGGAGCAAAATTAGGCGAAAACTTCAGATTCAAAGAAAACCCAGATGAAATTTCGAACTTACTAAACTTTCCCAGTAATCAAAAAGCGAATAACAATCCAAAATAAGAAACGACTTGGTAAGCCCTGGAATCTAATAAAAATTCTCCAGTAATAGTAAGAAAATAAAGTCACAGATTCAAAGCAACCAAATCCACCAAAAATCGAACCCTATGATCCCAAAAAGAAAAAGAAAAAAAATTTAGAATTTAAAAGATAAAATCAAGGAGATTCGGAAATTACCTAAAAAGAGAGGCTTCAAAATCCACTCGAAACAGAGACTTTCGCATTCGATCCCTATTTTAGAGAGAGAGCGAGAGAGAGAGAGAGAGGAGAGACGACAGAGAGAGAAAAAGGGAAGAAGAGATGGTAACGGAGTGTATTTTAAAGAGACGGAGTTAATTAGAAAAGACCTGCATCAGTTAACCCTACCGTTCGGTGGGGATCCTGGTTGACGTTAAGTGACGGTGATAAGAGGAATTGGAGGGGTCAAAATCGGCGCCTTATGTGGTAAAGTGTTTTTCCTTATAAAAAGGAAAAAGAAAATAACAACATGCGGTGATGTTACACTTTTTATATATATATAAATATATAAAGGAGAAAGAAAATCACAGTTTTTCTTTCTTTTCTTTCCAAAATTAAATTTAAATACTGAATTATTGACATTGAGTGGAGCACTTTTTTCTCTTTGCTTGCGTGTGTTATTATAACAAGTGATAACCTGGATAGAAGTGGCATCGAGATATCTAAGCTTGCGTTCTTGGAGTTGAACCTAGGATTTGGCCTCTCCCTCTTTTTTTAATAATAATAAATAAAAAAAGGTTCATCTTGTGAAGGTTGAAGAATTATAGGTTGTTGTATTTGAATTTTTAATTTTACTTCCTGGTATTGCCCACGGATTTTCGAGAAGATCTCCAATATAATTTAAGAAACACCACAACCTTAAATTAAATTCGTTCTTTCATTGATGTAATCTATATATATATAGGATAGGTCTTTGTGTGTCTATATATAGATTATATATATATATATATATATTAACGTTTCGAATATTATTATGGAATTTTACAAGTATTATTCAAGCTACTCAAGGAACTCGTTCGGAAATGTGTGTCTTTATTTCTCAGTAAAACAAATATAAAATCAGTAAAATCATTAACTTCAAATATGTTTCTAAGTATGCATTTGACGCCATCATTCACAGATAAATAAATTAATTATCATTTAAGGATGAGTGATTTATCTATCGCATTTGACGTTCTAACATTTTGTTTTATGTAATTAGTTGTGGAAATAAACGTCATTTGAAAGAATATTAGATCCTGGAAGGCGGGTATTTTCACGAATTTTCTTCCCTTGTTACAGGAATTTCTATTTATTTGGATATATAGTAATTCACTTATTTCCTGAGTCCTTGTCATTTCTGTTGCTTTGAACATTTAGTATTAGTAATGAAATTTTGGATAGTATTGTACTGATAATGTCCTAAAACATTTAAGCAGATTTCAGGTTCAATAATGATGAAATTCTAAACATTCAAATAGCTTATGGATATGATTTTTAAGTTGGATAATTGATTAATCAATTGGTCCTAATAATTTTATCTTCTCTCTGATCAATATGGTTAATAGCTTATATTTGATACTTGGTTGATTAAGATAACTTGTGACTAATAACTACAAAAAGTTCTTTTTAATAGGGGTGATCAGGACTCTTCGATACTTAAATAAATATTTTTTAGAAAGAAAAAATACAACAATATTTCATAAAGAGACGTTCTAAAAATATATATGCAGTAGAGAATTAAGATTTGTAAATCTCTGTTTCGAATGTCTCATTATATATTTATAGCTCATGAGTTTTGTCATTATGTGAAGAAAGAGGCTGAAATGTAACTCCATCTTTATAGAGTATTTATAGTCTTCATGAGTAAGTGCTTGATATCCATTTAGATAAGGGAAAAAATCTTCATTGATGGGGGCTATAGACATTCCCTTGAGCATGCTCATACACAAACTATCTCTTAATTCTTTGTTTGTTGGGCTTTTAGGAAGCCAAAGAGCTTAGTGTAGAACAACGATTATTGTCACCAATGTCCATTCCATGATAACTAGGAGGAGTACATTTGAAGTATTTGCTCTATATATGGGTATGCATATGATCAATTAAGAATCTTTCATGAATATCATTTTTATTGGTTTTTTCTAGAGAGTGTAAACATTTACGAGCTTCTTGTGGAGCAGTAGGTTGTGACGCTAAGGTTAATAGGTGGAGTACATAATTATTGAGAAATCTTTGATCACATAAGAAATCAAGGCTTTATAACTGTATATATTTGCTACTCCTTTTATTGAATGAACTTGGCTATATATAGCCTTACAGCAGTAACAAAAAATAAAATGAAATATCACATGAATGTTGTGCTAGCTTACAATTGTTAACGAAAACAGTTAAGAAATGGTTAACTTAACAAAGACATCATATGTTGTTAAATGTGCTAAGACTTTTTGGGGTGTCAATGTTTAATCTTGCCCTCGGGTTACCAATACAGCATGAGTGAGAAGTTGCATCTAACTAGTGAGTTATTGAAACTCTTGCTAGGTAAAAGTGGTCATGGAAATAAATTGATTTGTTTCGCCTTTTAATCTAGGTGGGCATTGGTTGTATGTCATGAAATGTTCTGAAAATACTAAAAGCAAATTTTAGAAAGAAACCTATGGTTTTTTTATCAGTTTTCACACAGGCAACACCACTGATGATATTTTAAAAAATTCAAATAGCTTTGAAATAAAGTTTTCAAGTTGAATAATGATGAAGTCTAAAGAATCCTAATAGCTTAGGAATATGGATCCCAAGTTTTATAATCAATTAATCAACTGGTTTTAGTATTCTTATCTATTCCCTTTAACCAAGGTGATTAATAACTTATATTTGGTGTTTGGTAGATTAAGATTGCTTGTGGATAGTACTTGAAAAAATCTTCTTCAGCAGAGGCGAAGACTCTTTGATGTTTAAATATGTATCTTTTTATAAAAAAAAATATAATAATATTTCAGAAAGAGATGCTCTACACATGTAATAGAGAATGAAGATCATAAATTTCTATTATGAATGTTTTATTGTATATTTATAGTTTATAAATTTTATCATTTTATAAAGAAAAGGATTGAAGTATAATTTTATTTTTATAATATTTTATATTTTATTGTGAGCTACATTTTAATTATCTAGATAATTATCTAGATCTTGGATCGACCAAGTTTCATTTAATGTCCCGCAAACATAAAATAATACTAATTATATAATATAATTTAAAATATATCAAATATAAAATAAAATAATTATTTATCCAATCTAGTCGAGAGTTCGGTGGAATCTAATCAGTATTGTCTAGGATATCAATACTAAAGTAGCCTAGGGGACAAAACCACCACATTTCCCAGCTTCGCGAATCAAAGGTAAGTTTATCAATAGTTCACACGTTTTTGTGCTCGAATATTCTACAGAAAAGTGGTCAAGCTATGTTTGGCTCCACAGGATAAGTCATACACACCATAATTAATTAATCTAGCTAATTCAGTTGCAAGTCGATATCAAGAAACATGTACAGACATGGGTTATTAAAATTCTGAAGTTTGTTGGAAGATTGAAACAAAAAAAAAAGAGACTTTTTTAAATTCGAATCTTAATATCTATATTCACGAACATTTATCCTTAAAATCAATAAAAATATATATTTTTTAGATTATTTTAAAAAAATTCAATTTATATATAATTTGAATTTACCATGCTCCAAGAACAAAAAAGTTTTTTTAGGTTCATCGGGTGAAAAAAACTAGCTCAGTTGAAAGCTTTATTTGATATCAAAGTTCAATTATATTTTTATTTTTTATATTTTTAAATTGTTTTGGTGTGTTAGTATAAAAAATAAATATTTAAAAATAAAAATAAATATTATTTTAATTATTTATAAATAAAAATATTTTTAAAAAAATATTTACCCCACCTCAAAACAGATAAAAATGGTTTTATTTTCTTGTTTTCCAGTGCAGTTATTGCGTGAGATGACCTCACAGTATGGCGTCCTTGAAAATGTCACAGAGTCCGCTTATATGAATGTAAAATGCTGACACATGGAGCCAGGTGTTCCTTGCCGAATTTTGTTCTCCGAATTATAGTTGTGTTTTATTATTATTAGCTGAGCGCAGGTCTTTTCTGAGTGTGGTCCTCTATTTCCACGGAAGTGATAAGCTACTGGTGATCACGTAGCAATCAAACCAGTGCTGGAAAAAAAATAAAAAAAAATAAAAATAAAAAATAAAATAAAAGGTAGCATTATTAAAGATTCCTTCTTTCGCTTTATAATAGCGATAAGGCCTGAAAAGCAACAGCGAAAGGCCTACACCCTTAGTTTCCACGCACGTACGAGAAAAAGGACCGCTGAATTTCGCGTTCTATCTTGCCAGGGTTGAAGAAGTCTTGACGAGACAAAGGATATGGAACTTGGTCTTTAGTGTACAGGGCATTGCTGGCTTTATCCATTGAATATCAATCGTTGGATTTGATTTATATCAATGGTTGTATTTTATTCACACGAAGAGTTGATAATTGTAGATTCATATCCAGAAGCCAGTGGATGGTTAATGTACGGTTCATAGCACGATGGTATTCAGAGTTTTTCATAGCACAGAGGAATCTAATGAATCAATACTCGGTCACTGTTTTTTCTAATTGCTTTTATTTTTTTAAAATATCAAATTGATGTTTTTTCATGTATTTTTAAATGATTTTTATATGTTGATATAAAAATAAAAAAATTATTATTTTTTATATAAATTAATACAAAAACATATTAAATTGACATGTCAAGAGCTAAAAACATTAATAAAATTGGGATGGAGAGGGTGCATAATTAATCAAGGATTTAAGATATTGGATTGCCCTAGCTTAACATGTCCAAATTAATCAGTGGGTAAGTGCAGGACCTGTACCGTTAGGGATGACAGAGAGCACATACTTCAAGCTCTCAACATGACACTGGCACATGCCTCAACTATATTATCAGTCCGTTACGTAACAGCCGAAATGAAAAAAAAACAAAAAAACAAAAAAAATGACAGCAAGACAGATTATTGGAAGATATACGCAGAGCCGTGGTGGCGAGGATTTTGAGGGCTGTTTTTGTTTTTTAGCATATTTTTAAAAGATAGTGGCGTAATAACATGGTTATAAAAAATAGTAAAATAATATATATATATATATATATTATTTTATATATATATATATATATTGCAGTTGAAAAGTGTGACTTTTATAGCTTCTTGTTATTTATGAATAATAATATATTTTTTTAAAAATTAAATAAACAAGAGATAAAAAAGAAAAAAGAAAAAACAAATAATTAAAAATATGTGAAGGGTAATCCATTTATATTTAGTATAAAATATAACTTATTTAGATTAACATTAATAATTTTTCTGGGTTTGTCTTATCAGGATATTTATATAATGCCATTAACATTATAATTAGAGTTTCAATGTGTTTTCATAGTATTTTTTTATATCGTTTTTTCTTTATTTTATTTCTCTCTTATATAGGTTTAATATTAAAAAAACCTATAAAAATCATGTTTTCCAATCAATATATAAAAATGTATTACTTTACTAATTTTTTAAATTTCTTTTAATGGTATTACTCCATGAATATTTTTAATTAATTATTCTAATTTTAAAAATAATTGATTTTGATCTCAATTACCTATTCGTAACCGGAATTTTTTGTGGCATGTATAGACTTGAAAGATATTAAAACACCCGAGCAAACAAAAAAGATGCAAGTATGCACGTCTAAATATTATTTTATCACACGTATTGTCCAGAGCTTAAAAGATAGTACATCTAAGTTAAATTGATTTTTCTTCTTTGGATTGGAAGGCACTATTTCTCTATTTGTGATTATGATCACGGTTATTTTTTATTTTTTATTTAAATTAAACTATATTAAAATAAGATTTTTTTATTTTTTAAACATCAAAATAATTTAAAATATAAAAAATAACTTTTAACAATAAATTTTAATTTTAATTTTTTAAAAAATATAGGTTAATCCACATTTCCAAATACTCATAGCATAATTCAACCATCAAACAAATACACCTTACACGTTCTCTCGTTTATTGGGAGGATTTAGTTTTATAGCTTCTACCTCAACTTTAAATCCTCGTGTATTTTTATATTCTAATTTCTTCGAAAGAAAAAAATAGTGGCTTGATTGACAAACATTTTATTACTATTTTTTTAACCTGGCATAAAATCTTGGCAGCGAATTCAAGGCACCATAATTCCAGTGACTTAAAGTCCTGTAAGGATCCCCCAGACGTTTAAAATAAGTAAATTATGCTGTCTGTGTGGCTAAAAACAACTATAAAGCTCGGTTTCCTTATCAGAACTGGATAGTACCTAGTTGCTGTCGGTACAAGACTTTCCGTTCTATTCGAGGCCTTATCACAACCAATTGCCGTCCATCAAAGTGATAAGCCATCGGAGACTAGGAAATTGATGGGCAATAATGTAAAGTTGCATTATTGAAGATTCCACCATCCACTCTATACTCGCTGCGTGTCCTGGAAAGCAACGGCATGGAGATTTCAGTCCCTTCAAAACCCACCCACCGCATCGAACAAAACGATCTACATTAGCTGCCAATGAATTATAAAATGACTCCTTCCAGGCAAGAACTAGCACGGCTAGTATCTGTAGCTGGTGCCTGTGCTTTGTCAGAATTGATCTGCGTTTGCTTTTTAATACTGCTAGGCAATGCTTCATTTGTACGCATCATGTTTTGTTTTCATGGTTTTGATATAAAAATATTTTTTTTTTAAATAAAAAAATATTTTTAAATAAAAAATACTGTAAAAATCAACTCCAATTAGACCCTTCAACACCCCCAAAACTTCTTTGAAGCATGCCCATTAAGTAATTAAAAAAACCACTGCCAATAATATGATATATTTAGTTTTATATTAAAGTTATATAATTATGGCTTTCTCAGATGTAGAAACAATTTTAAAAAACACGTGAGTCAAGAAAGAAATTAATAGATGTGCTTTCTCAAGCACATGCTTGTTTGTGGGGGTTTCCAGCATGAATTTCCCCTAGATACTACCTGCGTGACCTTATGATGAGGTTTTAGCTCAGTGGAAGCTCCACAATCACCAGCCTAGCCCCAAAGTTCATGCATCTTTTTTCTTTCTTTTTTTTTACTTAATCTCGCTTTGTGGTACTTTTCCTTGTTAATAAGAAATTTAGAATTGATTGTACTTTTGCATTTGCCAATTGCCCAAATGAGCCTCTCCTAATTTTAGCAGGCTGTCCAGGTAGATGAATTATGATTACCCGTGCCAAGGTGGCAAAAAAACAAAGAAAGAAGAAAAACATTTTCGATGCCAATTATCAATGTCTTCTAAGAAAAGTTTTTGCATGTGCAGAACTGAAGAATCTGGTTCATTTTCAGCTTTAATCGTGTTCAAATCTTGCAGTTGCTAGACTTGATCACACAACAGCAAATAGGACAGCATGATTTTCTTGTATTGTCCGCATAATTTCTTATAAATATTACAATTAGCCGCGCACATGGACAAGGTGTTTATCTTGAATTCATCGCCTCTCTCATTAATTTGCCTCTTCTGAACAGTTGCACTTAGCTTGCCATTATTCAACAATGTCAGACGACGATAATGATGACCTTAATTCCAAAGTTGCCGTTCTACTAATTGGGGTTGGAGCAGCAGCTATTGTGGCAACAATTTACCACTGCCTTGCCATGACTTGGTGCTGCCGATACTGGGCCAGGCCTAACCCACAAGAGCCACAACTCCACGTGAACGAAACAGTTCTCGAAAATTCTACAGCCCAAGTCATCCCATCCTATGAGTACCCAAAGGATACAGGCTTGACAGGTGATAACGGAACTTGCGCAATATGCTTGAGTGATTTTGAAGAAGGAGAGCTACTACGTGAATTGCCGGAATGCTTGCACTCTTACCATGTGGCATGCATCGATATGTGGCTCTACTCCCACTCCAGTTGTCCCATGTGTCGCACCGATGCCAAGCATTCTCAGCAAGTTTTCTTGAATGCAAGGGATTTAGATTCTGAGAGATCATCAGAGCCATAACGAAGTGTAGGTGTTTTACGAGGCATTGTTGTGCATCCTCGTGCCATGTAAACTGTGTGACTACGCAAGCTTGTCTTATTTTCCATAGGAATTTTAGCTTCGAAGAGTGTAGAAAAGTGACATTTGAATATTTTTCAAATGAATATGACTTGAGATTGCTATCATATCATTAGTCTATGGTGTTTAGCATATTTATGAAACAAACATGATACAATGTCGATCCGATCCAAACCCATGTATCGGAAAGATGACTCATGAATAAATGAACTAACCTACATTCTTGCAAGATTGGACTATTAGAAAGACCAGATAGGAAAGCAAAAGATATTCTACCCATGATTATTGCTAAGATTGGTTATTCAATAAAGCATACTAGTCTACGAGTACTGAGCACACACCCTTCCTTGTCTCCCGCCGGAGAGATTTCATTCTCAATCCCCAGGAGCTAGTACCAAGGTTTTAAGCAACGGGATGTAGTCTAATTCAATTTCTTACTCTATGCTTAGAAAACATAGAACTTGAAACGTCTCGTTTCAAGAATTCCTTTTTTTTAAAAAAACTACCTAAAACAACATAAAAAACAAGGACACTACCAGAACCCTCGACCCTGTGATTACGTTCTAACCTACTGAGCTTCTCCAGTTGTTGATTAGAAATGTCCAAAATATTAGTATTTTATTCTATTTTCTCATATAAAAGTTTTTCTAAGAAAAATTCTGACAGAGGGTCAATGATTTTATTGGCATAAGTGTGATGTAATAATTACATCATCTAGCGGGGTTCCCCTAATTCCTTTGGTCCTAAGCAACAGATGGCTAACGAATGGCGGGCAACCTTAAAACGATGGTAAATTGGTTTAATTTCGATAATTTTTAGTTAGACTAGCTAACTCTCAGTCTCCTACGTCAATATTGGGTTAAATTTTAGAATATTATGAATATAAACATGAAGATGCTATTTTCAAGTGAATAAATTCAACCAATAACCGTGCTTTCCTCACCTTTCCCAGCACCAGGAAAAAAATAATGTTAGGATTGCGATATGTAGAAGTAACAATACGCAGCAAGATAGAACATTATAAAATGAGAAATAAACACATTGCACTACACTGTCACAATATACCTTATATAGAAGTGTATCATTTAATTTAATTTTATTAAATTGCATTTTCTTTTCCTCACATGATACGTAGAAAAGTTGATACGTAACTTGGTTATAGGTAGAGCATCCCTACCTCTTTATTTATGTTCCAATGTTAGGCATCAAATTGGTGGCTAACATTTTTAACTTTAATCACTTCAAAAAGAGTGGTACCAAGTTAATGTTTTGATGATTTGGATGAAATTATCGATCAAACATGCAATTAGTAGATGGAAATAACACGTCAACTTTAATCAATCAGCAATCCTAATCAAATACTTAACTACTCCTCTGCCGCAATACAATGTTACTTTTATCTTCGGTATGTATTTAAACATCGGGTTACTATAGGCAAGTTGTCCTATGACTACAAGACAGTTTGCATCAGGCCGCGCATGCTTGAAAAATTGTCCCATGACTCGCCTCTGGAGACGAACATCACATAGATGAGAAGCCAAATTATATGATTTATTGGTCCTAAAATAATTCAGAAACATCTTAATTACCATGGAAGACAATTCCCCTCACCTTTTCGGTCTCTCTCCATTAACAAATGCCATTATTGGTATTATAGCAGCTTCTGCCGGGCTATTAATCTACCATTTCATCGTGGTCCTATGGTGCCACCGAACAAGGAAAGTTAGATGAAATATTTACTCAAGGCTCCATGACCAGTTTTCAAGACATACCAACCACCTTCGAAAATTCGATTGCATCCCTTATCCCCACTTGTAAACACACGAATGTCACAGGTCGAATGTCAAAATCTGAAGATGTAACATTAAGTTTAACTGAGTTCAAGGATGGTGAAGAAGTTTAGGTTTCGCCTGAATGTTTGCACACGTTTCATGCTTGTTGAATCGATACGTGGCTATTCTCTCACTTGAATTGCCCTCTTTGTCGGGCCGACATGGGTGTCTCAGAGCCAGCCCACCAAGAATCCGTCGCCTTTCAGCTACCGGGTTCTGGTGAACCACACAGAAATTTGACATAGTAAGGAAGCTGCTAAAGTTATCATTGACGACCAATTTAGGGCAAATCATTTTTTTCTGGCAAGTCATTAATTTTATGGCCTGGATTAGTTATATGGTAGTATGTTTTAAACTACCATTTTTTCTAGAGGTTTTTACTGCTACTCATTTGTTAATTTGAGTTGCATGTATGCCGTGCGTGTCAGCGCAAAATACTTCCAATGGATAGATTAGAATTCAGATTTCAGATTGATTCAAGGCACGAAATATCTTACTGGGTCATTTGACACCCGGGCACAGGCCTTCAGATAAATGAACTTCCAAGCCCACAAGTCCTTTGTGTTGCAGCAAAAAGCATAGGCTAAGACGAGGAAGCCCATTATCAGAGTCATCAAACAGTCAACCATGGAAGTCATTTGAAAATAAACCAGACATTAAATGAAAGCATGGGAATTGGTTTCCAGTTATTTCAAAGAAAATAATCATTTTGAGGGATTAAAGTTCCATATAATCGAGTGTGAGACAAGATTCATTGTTAATCTATCCATTATTCATGTCATGTATGTCAACAAACAATATGATTAAGAATTTGAAACACTTCTCAACTAATTTGGGCTTTAGTTACACTAGATCCATCAGGTATCCCACCCTTTCCCAGATAGATATTTTCACAAATCCCATGTGATTAAAGTATTAATCTCTTACAAAACTTTCGAAGGAAATGATGTCCTAACGCCCACAGGAAAGTAAAATGGTTCAGGGATACCCCCATTTCCATAACGTAATGATGGTGATCATCACAGCTTCAATAGTGATATGAACCATCAATCAAGCTTCATGCGATGGGAGGTCGTTTTAAGGGTTGCTGGGCCAGTTCAATCAGAGGACCTCTCAACTCCCATCATTTTGAAGCAACTCATGCGTAACAAAGGTGACACTACTTTCTTTTCTAGGTAAAGCATTAAAATAGTTTTATGCAATGCCCGAATCACATTTCGATTTTCCCTCTTATGCTCGTGGAAGCTCCAAGAATTGAGTGCCATCCGTATTATTTCCCTATTTTACTCTCCAAGAGGATGTTTGGTGCGGGAGTAAGGGGTATTATCATTGTAATTTTTCATCTCATTTACTCGTGTGTTTGGAAATGAAAATATAATAGTAATTAATTTTTAAAATGTTATTTTTACAAATAAATTAAAATAATATATATTTTTTATTTTTTAAAAATTATTTTTAATATTAACACACCAAATAATCTGAAAACACATAAAAATTTAATTTAAAACAAATAAAAAATCAAAAAAATTAATTTAATGGACTTATTATGTATTAAACCTAGGAGAGAGTGGGGGAGGAGGGGTAAAGAGATTTTTTAGGATGAAAAATATTGATTTTTATGCCATTTTTTAAAATTTAAAGTTATCTTACTGTTAGTTGTTCTCTCATTTCAATTTTAAACCATTTAGTTTTTTTTTATAATCTTATTTATTTGAAAACAAATTTATTTATATTGGGATCTACCATAATCTGTAATTTTTTTCAACTTTTATAAAGCACCTCTGAGGTTTCTCTCTGGAATATCTTCTCACATGCTTAACCCCACACTCTCAGTCTCAGATCCTTTTCTTTTAATATTTCACTTTCAAAATCTTCTCCTTGTATTGGATATTAAGAAAAACTAACTCCGAGTGTAGAACAGGGGTATTTCTGTAAGAGAGAACAAAATGCCCATCATTGACACATCAGCTTCCTTTTATTTGCGATCCCATGTGAGCATCCCTCGAAGAGTGTGTCCTGTCAAGCCATAAATTAGCGAGTAATATAGCCGACTTCCTTTCCGCCTCGTCCAACAATGGTTTGTTTTTATTAGCTTGAATTTACGGGTAATATTTGTTTTTTAAAAATATTTTTTATTTTAAAAATTATTTTTGATATGATGTATTAAAATAGTTTTAAAATAAAAAAATAATTAATTTTAAAAAAAATAATGAAACGCAAGTTGCATCGCAACTTCAAATAATGAGTTTTTTTTTTTTCATAATTTTTTTTGCTTCATTCAAACCTCAATCTTCATCATATTTCCAAAGACAATTTAAAAGTGTATTTGATATTCTTATAAAGTACGCTTTTCAAAAGTAATTTTAAAACACAATTTCAAACCGCCTCGTTTGTTTACTTATGTACAACTATTTCAGTGACCTGGAGGCTTAGCTAAATATGTAATTATCCACAACTGTGTGGTTTAGTTCATTGGTTTGTCGAATAAAAAAAATAAAACTTTTATAATCAAGCTTCATGATTTGTGATTGTGATTTTCAGAGAAAGAGAGCCTTTTCGTTTGGTTTGGTTTTAGCTGGTGGAGTGTTTTTTCTTTTGGGGCTTTGTTAATGGCAGATAGAGTTGGTATACTGGTTAAAGCATTTGCTGAAGAGAAGCAGGGAGTTTGATGTGCTGTTGGCCTTGGCTTTTGTTCAGTGCAGATTGGGACTGCTCAGTAGCTCTTGATAAGATTTTGCTTATCTTGGGTTTCTTTTGTTGGCTTAGTACCACAGGTGATTCTGGAGTTATTTATGGTAACTTCTCTGTTGGTTCTTGGCTCTGTAGTAGTTATTGATTGGATGTTTTAAGCAGTTTTCATGTGATTTCTAGACAGAAGATGAAATCTTTGAGTAGTGTAGGGCTTGGTTTGAGTATAGTTTTTGGTTGCCTTTTATTGGCCCTTGTTGCTGAGCTTTACTACTTGTTATGGTGGAAGAAAAGGTTTGCTAACAAAGAGATTGGAGGTGATTACAGCAGCCCAACGAGAGAGCTCTTCTTTATGTTCTGTTTAAGAAAGCCATCTTCTTTAAGGCACAATCAAGAACTATGTTCATCGGTGAGAATAACAGATGCACTTGTCCAACACGAGCAAGAATCCCAGCTCAATATTAATACAAGCAAAGATATATTGCTCCGGCCCTGGAGTGATGGTAATGTGGAGACAGAGCTCATGAGGCTGCATAGTCTCTCAGGTCCACCCAGATTTCTCTTTACAATTGTTGAAGAAACAAAGGAGGACTTAGAGTCTGAAGATGGCAGGTCTAGAGGTGATCCTAAGAGTGCGAAAGGATCAAGAAGTAGAAGCTTAAGTGATTTGCTTCGTACTGTGGAGACTCCATATCTAACCCCTCTTTCTTCTCCACCATTTTTCACACCTCCTCTTACTCCTAGCTATAATCAGATTGGATTCAATCATCTCTTTGAATCATCAAAAGACGCAGAGTTCAATAAGATAAGATCATCACCGCCTCCAAAATTCAAGTTCTTACAGGATGCGGATGAGAAACTATATAGAAGGAAATTGATGCAAGAAGCTGGGGAGAAGGTCCAAAGGCATGATGTTTTTGCTCAGGATCATACCAAAATGCCTGCTAGTTCAAATTCTAACAAAGACGAGGATGATGGGCCTTTTTTCACCATCATTATTGACAGGAACAAAGAAAGAGAGCTTAATGAACAAAATCATCAACTACCAGACTATCAGTCAAGCACTTCACAGGTACTTCCTCTTGCTACTTCACCTTCAACATCAAAATCAGCAGCCAAGAAAAGTTCCTTCTTTCATTAGATCTCCGTGATCGAGTAAAACGAGATTGGTTTTTTTTCCCCCTATGTATTTCTATTAACCAACTTTAGTCTTCTTTTTAGGAGTTCCTTTTCTTTAATCTTTTTATGGGATGGTGTTAGAAGGTTAACCTTGCCGAACCCTTTTGCAATGTCTGAAAAATCTTCGGGTGGGTGGGGAGTTGGACACACTCTCTGCAGTGTAATGTTAAAGGTTGGACAAGTGCAGGTGGGGGTCTTGAGGGAGTAATCTGTTGTATTCACTCTTCATGCATCTCTGAGCTGTCTGATATCCTGTAATCGTTCTGGCGAGTGGTGGTACTACTGATGTTTTTGTCCAAAAGGCACTGTAGGAATTCTTTCAAGACCATGCACTTCTTTATTTATTTTTTTCCATGTTTTGTTTCCTTTCTCTCCGTGCTCATGGCACATACATAAACTGACATCAGTGCCATGTCCTGATCTTGGATTCCTTTGTTGCGAGGTAATTGTATGTACCCCACCAGCCTTTCTTACAAATTAATCTATACCGTCGGATTAACATCTGAGAATCAAAACTGATGAGAGTTTTGGTTGGTCAGGGAGTCTAATATAGATGCCTAGATAAGGGCGACCAGCCAAAAAAAATGACAAAATTAGAGAAAAGAGGTGCTTGTGATTGGTGAGCCGCTTCCTGGGCTTTTTCGAAAAAACATAGAGGCCATTTTTACCCGTGAATATGTCGCCACCTTGGCTTGGAGAATCAATTCAGGCACTGCCTTTATCCATTAAATGCTACAAGAGACACGTGGCTCAATCATGAGGTTTCGGAGGCATCTACTTTCCATATATATAGATTTATTTGGGCCACGCTGCTATTGCAGTCCGAGAGGAACTAGGAGTCGTGACTCCTCGGCAAGGGGAGGAGATGCTCAAATACAAGCTCATTGGCAAACGTCCTAATAGACTACACCTAGGCGAATGAATCGAGCATTGTTTAGCATGAACAGTGCGAGCTTAACCCGTGTAATCAGTGAGTAGTGAGCTAGCTACTACCCCAACCTGGCCCCACATCCCTCAGGATAAGAGCCCTCTTGGGGAACTAAATAAGATCAGCATCACAGCACTAACTAGGTTTCATTCTGATCTAATCTAAACAAATATATGATGATGATCAGAACAACATATGAAATCTAACCAGCATTCCACGTCCTCGAAAGCTAAAAATCAGTTAAACCGCTGCATCAACGACTCAGACTGTTATTGGCATCGACACACAGTGTGCTGCCAGTTGAATCCCACTAATTTCAGTCTTTTTTTTTGCGGAAATTTTCTTTTCAAGTACGGTGAAACCCTGATATATATCGTCATTCCATGAAGCTGTCCCGGAAGAAACCAAGTCATCTAAGATTTCAGAAAAGTAGCACCTTGCAGAGACAATGTGCACTCGGAGTGTCAATCATTCAGCAGAATTCATCTCAACATGCACTTCTTTATTGATGAATGATTTGTTTCATTCACGAAACTCGACTTCACAAGCACCTGTTTGGCGCCAAGACCAACCAGAGGAAAGTAGTCATAAAAAAACAGTCCTTGCCATTTTAAGTTGCGAGCAGTGTCACATGCAACCGGCCCCTAAAAACGACAAACATGGTGACGGGACAAATTTCTGACACGCCAAGAGACTGCTCTTAGTATAGTAAGTCACAACAATTCTAGTCTATGAATAAGCTTACATATTTGGGGAAAAAAAATGTAAAAAATACATGAATCCGATGAGATGCCTCAAATGGATAGACAAATGGCAATATGCACTGAACAAAGAAAAAAAAACATCTCTTTTTACTTAAATAAATGAGAACATATATCGGCAATCTGAGATGGATGAACAAATTCAGAAAACATTGCGAACAATAAGAAAAACATGATGATGATGTCAAATTCCTAGCGCAGCAAAACCTGTTATTCCAAGCTCAACAGAGAGTGCATTGAGGCCAGGCTCTTCCAAAAGACTGAGTGCAGTGTATCCATAGTAGGAATGGTACAGATCTGGCAGCTCATTTGGGAATTTACTGAAACCACCATACTGGTCCAGGAACAATTTAAGCAAAAGAACATTAGAATCCAAAAATAATATCATCACCTAGTAGATATGCATCAAGGGAGAACAAAGAAATTATTCCCATGGCTCTTGACAATTCACATATATGAGCATGATTGGTCGCTGGTTTGACATCTTATGCATCACACTGTACTTTTTACCTCTGCATTTTCTTTGATTTTTTGACAGAACTACAAATGTAGGTTTCCCCTAGGAGTTTTCAGTAAGTAACCAATATATCCTCCATTCTGGTCAGCTTTCATCACCAGCCAATCAGTTTCCATTTTTCAGTGTATCAGGGAAGACCCACAATTAAACACATGCGGAGGATACATAATAACAGCCCATAGGAGAAAACTAAATTAACAATATCATACATGAAATACATGCAATTTGACCAGTTGGAAGGACAAGCACCAGTACCTCAGATTGACAAGAAAGCAAAAATCTCCGCAAAGCTGTTCCATCAATCAACTTGGATCCACCTAAGATCCTCAGAACTGCCCCAACCCTGTACAAAGCATGCTTCCCATGTCAAAACAAGGAAGAAAAGCCTGTTGTGGCGTGGAACTTCAGGAAGGTGTTCTTACACTCACCAAAATGCATAACATGTGTCGCTAGGCTTGTTAGCTCTCCCTTGGAATCCACCGTCAGCTGCTTGTCTCTGAAGCAGAGGAAAGAGTGTCAAAATTACAGCCGCGGATGATGGAAGACCTTAAAGTATCAAAAGCTAAACAGAAAATTGAAATATCTTAGGGAGCAAATGGAAGTTATGATTTCACAAGCATTTAGTCATTTACAAGTTCTCTAGTCCTTAATAACCACAGTGTCAGTCCATTGTTTACATGTTTAAATTCTAAAAGCTACAAGTTCAAGGTCTAGTTTTGATGCTTTGAAATAATTCCAGAGAAAAGATGAAGAAAGCAAACCTGTAAGCACCATTCCAACAACAATGGAATGTCAATGATGGAAGAAGCTGCACTTTTTGACAGGACATCATCTTCAATACATCCCATCAAAGAAAGAGAAGCAACTGCACAGTAAGTTCCTCCACCTGCCCACTAAGATGAAAATCTTTGGTAGATAGCATTGAAAGAAGCAAGCTCACAAGGACGTATAAACAGAAGCTCGTTTATAGAGATTTCTCAGTAAAAATTTATAGATGATTACAATAACACAATAAGATCACCGCCAAATGCAATAAAATTTAAAAGCAGATGTTGGACCAAAAAAAATAGAGGTGAAAAGCAAAGAGAAGAAAAACACTATCAGTTAAAACTAGAATTTGTGTACATGTTGCAGAAACTAACAGTATCAATGAAATGCAAATCAATTATGCATTTAGATTTAAATTTTTTTTGAGGATCTACCAACCATATAAGAATGTTCTGCAACTCACCATGAGATTCTGAACCAGGAATCATCCCAAAACCACCGTCATATGACTGAAAAGAGCAGCAATACTTTTAACTAAACATGAAATACATATACCACAGGGATTATCAGAAGAATGCAAAATACATTGCAGAGAGATGGATGACAGAAAAGAAGTTCACTAAGAACAAATATACCTGGCATTTGAAGATGTAATCCTTGGTTTTTTCCCTATCCATGCCACTCCAATCCTCCAACATAAAACAGATGGCCGCTGATACATCAATTAGCAATAGGAATATTATATCACTTTAAGCAGCCTCATGAACAGCCCAAAGTTTTTTTTCCCTTACCAGCACAGTATATGAATCGAAGATCTGTCTCTGCTCCAATATGGATAGGCAGAAAGCTGCAAAATAACAAAAGGTTGAAAAAAAAGAAAAGAAGGGCTATAAGACATCATTTCAGCTCAATGCCAAAACACAATTCTTTTTTTCTTTTTTTTTCTTTTTTTTTCTGGGTGATCTCCAATCACTAAAGTTACATATGTAAAGAAGGGGTGGAAAAATAAACAGAAGAGTGGAACTAAGCCAAAAGGTTAATCAAGTTCTTGACTGAGGTGGATCAAAAACACAAGGCACTATCCACCAGGATCAGAGAGAACAAACTTAAAAGGCAATCGTATTGCAGAATATAGCAAGTGCTGAATATTCAAGTAAAAAACCCTATCACATACCTCCCATCAGGTTGCTGGAGGTTTCTTATTGACATGGATATTAATTTGGAGTCGATACTGGACAAATTGTAGCCAACAGTCTTCAGTATGGATAGGGCACAATACGTGCTTGCCAAGTGGCTGTGATTGTGAATTAAAATCTACAGGCAAATCAAACATCATAAGTAACATCCAGGACAAAGGTATACGGACACTGACGCCATAAGTTTTCTTGCAGAAACATAATAAACAGTTCGGTGCAAGGATTAGTAAAAAAAAAAGAGAGCCTATAGGACAGTTTAGCTCTGTATATCCACACCCCATCGTTGTCCGAAGAAAATTGAGAAGATCTAGAGCCACAAAACCCATAGAACTGTCCTGCAACAATCCAACAGCTCATTATAATCGTTAACTAGCCATTTTAAAAAAATTAAGCATTATGGTTATTCGTGATCATAGTAATCGAATTAAACAAGATTTATTAGCAATCAAGTTCGTACCACCGTTCAATTCAGCTTTATCTTCGGGATTAGATTGCAAAGATAAAACCCAAGCAGCAACCGCATCTTTGTCAACCTATAACATAAAAATACACAGCCGATTTCTTAAATCACTGTAAAACATCAAACAATCCATTAATTTTATCGAAATTTTAAATCAAAATGACAGAGAGTAAAAAAAATCAAACTTTCAACAAAATCCAACCCGAAAGCAACCCAAATTATCTTCCAAATTGTAAATGTATTACATGTTTTAAGAGCAATTAGGCTAAATAATAAGAGCTTACGCGATCAAGGGAACCGAGGATGTCGAGACCGGAGATAACGAAGTAGGCGAGAGTGAGATGGTTGATCTCCTGTGATTGGTAATGGTAAGGTAACATATGGTACATCATCTCCAAGAAGGCCACGTGGCGTTCCTTGTCGAATGTTAGCGAGGAAGATGGCGGCGATTCTTCATCTGAGGACGATGAAGGGTCCCTATCTGGTGGTGGTGATGCTGCTGTTGTGTATGTAGTCATGGAGTTGATGGTCTTTCACGGAGAGTGAAGAAGTTTGTGAATCTGGTTCTGGTTTTCAGGTAATTAATCCTGAGAAACACCTTCTATTAGCACCAAAGTACCGGCTATCTGTTAAAAAAGTTTATTTTTAACATTATATTAAAATAATTTTAAAAAATAATAAAAATAATATAAAATATAAAATATTCCTCTTAAACAGTGCTTTTCATAGAGTGCTGCTGCTGCTGCAGTCTCGGACTCTCGGCTCATCTTTCTTTTGTTTGTTTTGTTTTTTTCCTTCCTACGATTTGCTTGGGCTTCTATGGGCTTTATATTAAGTCCAACGGAGCCTAAGATGCAGGGTGCATTGGAAGTTCTTTTCAGTAGGAAAAGTCTTTTCCGTAGTTTTTATAGTTTTTTTAAAAAAAACACTTATCACAATTTCAAATAAATTTTTAATTTATCAATAATGAATCCTTTTTATTTGTGATAATAATAATTTTTTATTTGAAACAATATTATTTTTTAATTCAATTTTAAATGCTTGCTATTTAATTAATAAAATTATATCTGCTATTAATATTACCTTTTGAGAACTTGCAAATCTATATTCAAAATATTCCTGTAACTGGACCTAGCATGCAATAGGAGAAATGGCTGGCTCTCCAAGATCTTAAGAGGGCTGCAAGATCTTAGTGTCCCAGTCTGATTGGCGAGCGGGACACTCATAACAAATCAGAGTCTCTTCTGTGCACTGTTTTGATTTTGCAGAATATCATGTTGAGTGTGGAAAGAGAGATGAAAAACAAAAGGCATATACTGTGATGACCATGTACCTATTCTCTTGTTACAGTTATAGTTGGCTGCAGAGAGCATTAAAGAAGTCATGCTATCTGATCGAAGGCATGCAGATTAACGGTGGCTCTTTTAGTTTTTGTATTTTAAAGATGTATTTAAAAAATTTATATGTTTTTTTATTTTAAATTAATATTTTTTTATTTTTAAATTATTTTAATATATTGATATTAAAAATAATTTTTAAAAATTAAAAATACTATTTTAATATATTTTAAAATAAAAAATATTTTAAAAAACAACTATAATCACATTTTTAAAGCCACCTCTGACACAGGTTCTGCTATATTAAGTTCCCCTAATATTATTACCGCATAATGTTCTGCATAATGCAACTTTTTGTAGTTAATTGGATGAAATCAGCAGAGCTCAACCTTTTCTTTTCTGATAGAGAAAAAATCATCACAGCTGGAAAGACCATTGTAGGGAGGGTGTCACAATGGAGAATAATTATATACCAAAGTATAACATGTCATCTTTCTGAAATGAAAAATAATTATAAAAATAATGTGTAGCGTGATATCTTATGCAGTCATGATTAGGATTAGTGTCTCGTGTATATGAAAAGATTACTAAACAAGCAACGTGGGTTGTGAGCTTCTTTTCCAGTTCTTGCATGTTTCTTGAATGGACTAAAACCAAGGTGATATGCTATAAATTAAAAAAAAAAAGTAATCTTTTATTGTACTATATAAATTTAAAATATAGATTAGAAAATCAAAAGGAAATATAAAATGTCATAACAGTCATATAAAATTATATTTTTTTATCCTTAAAATAAAATAAGATAATTTAAAAGAATAAATAACCAAATAAATTAAAAGGCAAAATTTAATATCAGTGAAGAAAATGAACAAATACGTAAACATAAATCGGTTAAAAAGAAAAAAAGAAAAATCCACAGGAAAAGAACCTCAAGCAAGCGCTAGCCTTAACGCTAATAAAGACGCAGGGGCCTCCTCACCTGGCCTGCAGCGTCGCAGCGCCTCTTGACAAGACTGCTAGCTGCAAGGTACATTATCTATCTGGTCAGACCAGGTGACACTGCATGGAGTTGTCTAGCCATTAACAAGAAAAGAAAGTTTAAAATAATCCCGTAAACTTGGGTTAAAGAGGCGCATCAATTTAACACTTCTGGTCTTGCATCAAAAATTTTAGAGCGATCTTCAACTTTAGCAGCATAAATAAAGGAAAGCCTTACTGAGCAAAATGTTCATTTCTACATGTTGGTGGCTGCTAACTTGTAGAAAATGCCGTTTTGTTCTTCATAAATGTGCGTACGCTCATAGAACAAAAAATTATGTCAATCTGCATTTAGATCTCGGAACCTGTGTGTAAACCATAGCCTATTTGATCAGGATGCATTTATGCGCTCCGTCGATCTCAAGGGATTTGATGTGCTGGCAGAAGTTCCTAGTCCACCATTGAAGGATAGCATCAGAGAATACCAACCTATGGAAAGAACTCAGATTCCCAGTCAAGGAGGAAGCACAAGATGTTGCTTTTGACGTCAACTTGTGAAAATGGTGAAGGAGGCTGTGAAGGTGGTGTCGGGCTACAGTGGTTTAACATGAATGATTTTGATGCTGGTGGAAGCTAGGGAGGGACTCATCCAAGAAGCATTATGATGTCGAAACTTGTAAAGTTATTTTTCCGTGCCAACGATGCTACAATCAAAGAAAATTATTTTG